GGTGGGGGGAGCCAAACCAAAACAAATGTCATAGTCAGGAACCAAAGCTTAAGGGCAGGCTGGAGTCCCAAGGAAAATAAAACTAGAGGCTCCACACCAAGCCCTACCCCCTTCCGATCCCACAGTGCTGGACAGACCTCACAAGGAGAGTCCCCTGAGCACTAATCTCAGAGGAGGTCTGTACTTTCTCCAGATCAAGTCCAAAATGCTTAGAGAAAAGGGAGGGCCCCATCTCAGCTGCACCCAGCTGCTGGAATGTAGCTAGTTCTCTAACAGGGTTGGGCTTTCTAACTCTACCTACACCTATGGGAAACTACAGCTTCACTTCTGGCTGATTCATACCCAAGGCAAGATTTGATGATGTCAGAACATCCCATCACCGATAATCCAGCTTCACCTCAGGTTTCCTGCCCTCCCACGAGTTTCCAGGGGTGATTTTCATAGTTGGTAGAGTATTTTCCCAACACTTCCCTAGCAGGCAGCATTCAAACTTTTCACAGCCTGGGTAATTATTCACAGTCCTCCTGAAGTGCTTAGATCTAGTAGCAGCATGCTGGAACACTTTCCTTGTTCTGTCTGAAAGCCTTCAGGAGCCCATTCCGTTTTCTCTTTCTCTCCTGTAGTTAAAATCCAGCTGCTTGATATTCATGGGACAGGACTGCACCTCCTGAAGTAAGTTACAATGCAAGGGAGGCAGATTAAGAGGACATTGGCCAGCTCCCTCCCCTGAGGATATCCCCCCCCACTGCCCCCCCAAAAAATCCTTTTAGGTTACAGGACTGAGTTTTCTATTAGGAATCAGTGGGCACATCTACAAAGTGTGCTTTAATGCACATTAGCCTATTTTACTGCGCATTAAAGCGTCCTGTCAAACACTGCACTAAAACACTAATGTGCAGTAAAAATAGGCTACTGTGCATCGTGTCACTAAAACGCTTTTGTTACTGCGCATTAGGGCAGCCTAATACACATTAAATTTAGTACCTCTAATGCAAGGTACTAAGTTAATGTGCAGTAACAAAAGCACATTAATAAACGTGTAGATGCACCCAGTAAGTGTTAATTGCTTGGTAGTTGAATTTGGATTTCTTAAAAATTTGCCAAAAGGGAAGAGCTCATTTTAGGAATTTATGATCAAGTCTTATAGCTGGGGTCAAGCTCCAAGATTTCAGATTTTCTTGGTAGAGCTTTCAGCCTCATTCAGCTAAATTTGACCAGAAAGGAATAATCTCTCTCATGGCAGGAGATCAACCATATTAATATTCTTGCTCCAGCTTGTTTCAGAAGGTGAGCTAGTAAATGATCCTATAGAAAAACAGCAAGGCAGGCTTGTTGCGCTTGCTAGGTATGCCAGCTGTATGGGATAAAAAGTCTCCCTTCACATCCTACAGCTTCTGAAGGGTTAAGAAATTGTCTGCCTGAAAGAAAACATCCATTTATTCTGGCTCAGGTTACCATCTTTTAATACTTAATGTCATCAAATGAATCCCTGAGTAAGGTGGGACAGGCCATATCTTATCTTCCTGTAATAATGAAATGAGACAACAGAAGAGGGGGAGATTTAATAGCAGCCTTCAACTAAAGGGGGGGTTCAAAAGAGGATGGAGCT